CGGGCCCAGAGCTGTGGAATTGGCTGACCATGGATTGAACCCCGGAAACCATGAGCCAAAATAAACTTGTCTTCCTCTAAGTTGTTCTTGTCAGGTATTTTGGTCACAGTGATGAAAAGCCGACTAATACACTGGTACTGATAAAGGCTAGTAAAGAACACAAGGGCCAGTACAAAAAAACAAGAAACCAAAATAAAACAAACCATTGAATCTTCACGGAACATACTTGGAAGGTCTCGCTACTCTACAGTGATATTCCACAGAAACTCCTAAACGGAAGACCCGAAGCGATTTATAAATTAAATGAACCCCAATCAACTCTGGAGAGATGATGTTTTCCAAGGGTTTCTTATTAGGCATTAATTTTAGGTCTGATTTATTGAGCACTTATCTATACCAGGAGTGTGCCAGTGTGCCAGGTACCAAGCAATAGTGATCCAAATAGTCATTAATGTCCCGTAGCTTGAATTAATCTCATTAAACATGTGTTTGAAATATTTTTAGTTTGTACTTAACTTGTAATAAGTTCCTTAAAGAAAGAGATCATAATTTAAAAAAGAAAAAATACTTCCCAATGAATTACAGTACAATGCTAACAGTCCTTCTTTATTTTCAAGCCTCTATGAAAGCTCCATAAGTTTTCTGTGTAAGTGCTGCGATAGGTTACACATGCTACCATCATAATCTTAAGGTTTGCATTTATTTTATTACTAATGACAGGTTCAATTACAAATTAAAGTTGTCTAATCTCTGTTGAATTCCACTGGTTTCTAAAAGATATGTTTCTTGACCATTTTCCAACATAGTTCATTAGCTTTCTGCTCAGAAATTACTCTATATCTTTTGTTATTTTCATCTCAAGCTTTCCACACATTCCTCTACACAAATGACCTTGCTTCTTGCCTTAAGAAAAAAGGCAGTGCATTTGCTATAAATCCCAAATCTCAGCTCTAAAGCAGTTTTTCTTGTCTACCGGCTGTTCTTTCCTAGGCTCAGAGAGGGGCCTTCTAAACCTTCTGTTCTTCCTGCCTCATCTGTGATCTTGCCATGGCCAGGGTCCTACAGTTGTCCCTTCCTCCTTTGTTGTTTCTTTTTATAAGGAAAGAAAGCAAAACCAAAATTCTCCTTTGAATCAATCAATCAACCTCCTTTCCTGAACTATTACTCTCCCTCTCTGCATTCTCCATTTAACTCCTCTTTTCTCAGACTGTGGCTCCTAAGCTAGATGAGTCAGCATCACTTGGGAACTTGTTTGAAATGTAAATTTTCTAAGTCCACCCAGACCTACTGTTTCAGAAACTGGTGTAGAGCCTGATGATATGCATATTAACAAGCCCTCCAGGAAATTCTAATGCTCACTACAGTTTGGGAACCACCTTCTTAGACCAAATGGCTCCTCAGCTTACATCCTATTTAACTTCTCTACAACACTTGGCAGAAAGTAGTATTGCTTCTATCTGAAGTTTAATTTTCTATTAACAACTGCAAACTCTTATTCTGGTTCTCTTCTTAACTCTCTGATCACTTATTAACAATCTCTTTCACTGACCCTCTCCCTATATCTTGGTATGAAAACATTGCTACGCTTACCAGTGTCTCCAAAATTTCACCAATTTTCCTGCCTTTTCACTAGAGTCTTGCTCATTATGTGATCTTCACTTTGATGAAAGGTGTCAGTGCCTAGCCATTCACCCAAGCCAGAAATTTCTACTCTACATTCTTACTTTGAATTGGCCAACCAAGTTTCTTTAATATTTATCTCCACAACTCTCTCACCTATTCTTTATCCCCAGGTGGATTGCCAGAACACTAGATCATGTCAATAGCTTATCTGATAATAGCTGCACTTTTCAATAGCCACTCCTCAACATTTCTACTTCACCATCTAAGGAGTAGGTTCGGTCATGTCAGTCCCATTCAATATGAAAAAAAAAAAAATTCAAAAATGATGAAAATTTTAAAAAAAAGTCGCAGCTGGGCACTGTGGCCCATGCCTGTAATCCAAGAGAGGCTGAGCAGGAGGATAACTAGTTCAAAGCTAGCCTCAGCAATGGCAAGGTGCTAAGCAACTCGGTGAGACCGTCTCTAAATAAAATACAAAATAGGGCTGGGGTTATGGCTCAGTGTTTGAGTGTCCCAGAGTTCAATCCCTGGTGCCAAAAAAAAAAAAAAAAGAATAGAACAAACAAACAACAACAACAACAAAATGATAACTTTGATGGCTTGCTATCAGAGGCTGAAGTTTAACATCCTGAGCATGGTGAGTTGGCATTTTAGGGCAACCTACCCTCTCTGTCTCCTCTTCTACCACTTCTTTTCTAATTGCAAAACCTTTTTTTCCCCCTCCAAACCTTTTGCTTCATCTAGACAAGATTGTTCACATTCTCTTCTTGCAGACTTGGTTAACAGTTTTCTCTGCCTGAAATATGCATCTCTAACTACATATGCCTCACTTATTTAACAATCATTAAAATTATTAAAACTAAAGGGCAGAGAGGATGAATGAAGCATATATCAGGTACAACTTGAGGTCATACACTCCACCTAAAGGGACAGTATCTGATCAGGAATTGAAAAATGCTGGCATACAAGTATTGCATTTAAGAAAAGACAGAAATGGGGCTGGAGAAGAAGCTCAGTAGTAGAACACTTGTGATCCCCGGTACCACAAAATAAATAAAGAAAAATTTAAAAAGCCAGAAATACAGGTTTTTAATGTGACATTTCTCAATTTTAAACTCTTGCAGCAAATATTTAAAAATTTAAATTACTCCTATGTACCATTGAGTGTCTGCCAAATAAAATACATCTGTTGGCTATCAATTTGGACCTTGATTTTAGTTCCACTAGGCATTAGGGATCCAAAGGTGATGGAAACAGGGCCTCTGACCTGAAGGCTCACCTTCAGGCTGTGCTCACATGCCAGCGCAGGCAGGAGAAAATAGCCTCTTACTCAGCTCTCATAATGCTCTGTTAATATGTCACTTGCCATCATATGTTCTTTTAGCTAATTCTTACTCCCTTGAATCATCAGACCCTAGAAGGGCAGAGACATCTTCTGCCGGGGAACTGGCAGCACCAGCACATTGCTAGGCAGGAGTAGGTATTCAGTTATATCTATAGAGAGATACCCACGTATCAATTTGTATCAACTCTATTCCAAACCTTTAAGCTATTATGTACTTTTCCCTTCCTAGGTTGACATTATACCTAGATTAGATACTACCATGTAAGCTACGTTCTGACTGAAGAATTTGCCAAATGCTCACCATCTCTAGCAGTCAGAGAAATGCAAATCAAAACCACCCTAAGATACCATCTCACTCCAATAAGATTGGCAGCCATTATGAAGTCAAACAACAACAAGTGCTGGCGAGGATGTGGGGAAAAGGGTACTCTTGTACATTGCTGGTGGGACTGCAAATTGGTGCGGCCAATCTGGAAAGCAGTATGGAGATTCCTGGGAAAGCTGGGAATGGAACCACCATTTGACCCAGCTATTGCCCTTCTCGGACTATTCCCTGAAGACCTTAAAAGAGCGCACTACAGGGATACTGCCACATCGATGTTCATAGCAGCACAATTCATGATAGCTAGACTGTGGAACCAACCCAGATGCCCTTCAATAGATGAATGGATTAAAAAAATGTGGCATTTATACACAATGGAGTATTACACAGCACTAAAAAATGACAAAATCATGGAATTTGCAGGGAAATGGATGGCACTAGAGCAGATTATGCTAAGTGAAGCTAGCCAATCCCTAAAAACAAATGCCAAATGTCTTCTTTGATATAATGAGAGCAACTAAGAACAGAGCAGGGAGGAAGAGCAGGAGGAAAAGATTAAAATTAAACAGAGACATGAGGTGGGAGGGAAAGGTAGAGAAAAGGGAAATTGCATGGATATGGAAGGAGACCCTCATTGTTATACAAAATTACATATAGGAGGTTATGAGGGAAATGGGAAAAAAAAACAAGGAGAGAAATGAATTACAGTAGATGGGGTAGAGAGAGAAGATGGGAGGGGAGGGGAGGGGGGATAGTAGAGGATAGGAAAGGTAGTAGAATACAACAGTTACTAATATGGCATTATGTAAAAATGTGGATGTGTAACCGATGTGATTCTGCAATCTGTATTGGGGGTAAAAATGGGAGTTCATAACCCACTTGAATCTAATGTATGAAATATGATATGTCAAGAGTTTTGTAATGTTTTGAACAACCAATAAAAAAAAAAGAATCACACATAAAGATACACACATGTTCCTTGTATGATGGTGTCCCAAATAAGGACTATATAGAGGTACTTTTGATAAATTGAAGAAATTATTTTAGACTAGGACAGACCTCTGCACTTTGAAACATGAGGAAAAGTGTTTATTTATCCTGCTTGTTAATCATGGGATGTAGTATTTTTCCATTTAACAAAAGCACTAAAAAGTCAGGTTTAATTTTTACTGCAGTTATATAATTTCTAGTTATGTTATTCAGGAATATTCACAAAACTAATTGAAATTGTAAACTGTTGGACATGGATATTGATTCATTTCTTAGTAAAACCAAACATTCTCACATACTCTTCAGCATTAGGCTTAAAAGGGGATTGCTTGGTTACTGCTATTTCACTCCTCAGCTTATCTAATTTCTAGACATAGCTACAGTCCATGAGTATAGGTCCTATATGGTTGCCATCTGCAAAGTTCATCAACATCAATCTTGCTGAAAAGAATATACTTTTGTAGTTACTTGGATGTTATCAAAATGAAGAATAAAATTTTTAAATATTTTCCCTATGTATATGATAAACAAGTTAAAATCCAAACCATATTTCAGATGTTAAAGATAGTCCCCTTCTATTTATTTTATAACTCTGTATGAGTTATAAAATAAATAGAAGTGCACGAATTCATCTATACATGAACTATTACATCTTTGATATTGAGACTCCATGTCTTATATTCATTGAATGTATCTTATCAATAAGACCATAAGGCTTACCTGCAGACTGTTGAAAATGACAAAGAGAACCAACATCCAGAACTGTCTGTAGGCCATGTGCAGTCCTCCCCAGAGCCATGCCATAGAAATCAGGGCAAAGAGATATAAAATCAGTGGAATTTCTACAAATGATTAAAAAAGAAAGAAATTTTTAGCTTCAGAAGATTGCATAGTTATACATATACACAAAAATATTTTTGGCTTCTTTCTTGTGCCAGATACTCTATGCCTAAGTACCCATTTTACCCGAACAATCTCGGAAATCCTAGTCTCATGCCAAAGAAGGCAAAGCACATCCCTGAGTCCACATTATTCATGCTTTTCCAATGGGTCTGCTTTTAGGCCTGATGACTGGGAAGGAACAGAACTGTCCTTCTCCTAGACTACCACCTGCTGGACTGTTCAGGAAGTACCACATGGATTACAGAGCCCCAGTGAATCTGTTCCACTGGAATGGAAGGAAGCAGGGTGCTCCCCAAATTAGCATAATCCAACCAGGCATTTAAGATCAGAAATCTTATACGTTTTTTGTGTGATGGAAAACATGTTCAACTCTTTTTCTTTTTTCTTTCTTTCTTTTTTTTTTTTTTTTTTTTTACTGTGAAGACATGAAAATATATTGTGAAGGTTAAGAGCAAAGATGAAATGACGAATTTACTGGAATTTACTGTCAACCCTGAGTTCATTCTACCCATCATGTTCTCAAGCAATGTGTTTCAATGGTTTTCTGAACAGTTTTTTTTCATATCTAAGGAACTTTATTACCATTTCTGTTTGTCTATTTTGAATTTTATTTGATATTTAGATAACAAGTTTTATAAGATTTAGAAGGTGAAGAGTTGTTAGAAGCCATAATAAACATATGTTCAAGCTGTTGAAAGATCTCAAAATGAACTGCACTACTGAGAACCCTCCTGACAGACCTCAAGGCCTTGTTTGCCCATCATCGTCAATTAACATAAAAGTTCTATTTAAAAATTTTGATCCATTTTGAAGTTGCCAACCTGATCCTCCTTTACTCTCTGAGTACTCTGATGTATATTTTCTACAAAGATATTTTTGTAGTTAGACACAATATCATCAAATAGGGAAATTAACTTTGAAATATCACTACTATCCTCATGTCTCAGTTATTCTAATAACTTCCTTTATACAGAAAGATCCAGCCTTGTATGACTGACGCATCTCTGTAGTCTTCTTTAATCCCAATGGTTCTGTGTCTTTGACTTTTCTGACATGAACACGTTTGATAATTACCAGACAGGTTTTCTTCTAGAGTGGCATTAAATTTGAGTCTATTTGATGTTTCCTCAGGATTAGAGTTAGATTGTAAACTTTGGCAGAAATCACAAAAGTGATGCTAGGTTCTTCTTAATAGCACTCTATCTAGAGGCACAAGAATTCCATTTGTTCCTCTAGGGAAGATGCTCATTTTGGCCACTTGATGAAGGTAGTGGCTTCCTGGATTTTCCACTAAAAAGTGAGCCTTTACAAAGGGCAAGATCTTTGTAATTAATAAGTATCTTATGTGGCTTTACTTGAAAACTATGTATCTTTTTCTTTATCAAATATTTGATTTGTTCTTTCATTTATTTTTATAATATGGACTTCTAGATTTCTATATTACTTAGTGAGTCATTATCTATTATTATTCTCATTTATTTTGATGCCCCAATTGTCCATACTTCAAGAAGGTTTCTATACCTTTGTTATGGCCCTCATTTTTCTGTTAGCATCTACTTGTTATCGGCCCAAGGTATTTCAGACTTTCACTTTCCAGTACTGTTTTCTCTTGGGAGAGAAAGATATTTAGAAACTGTGGTCTGGGGCTAGGTGTGGTCATTGTTTTTGCTGCTTCTACGCTCTCTCAGTAACCAGAGCTAGAAATTAGATGTATGTCCCCCACCCCCACACACATACTTACATCTACAGCTGTTCTCCCTTATTCTTGGAGGATAAATTCTCAGACCCTAGAGGATGCCTGAAACTATGAATAGTATTGAACCTCATATATACTGTTTTTTTCCTAAATATATATGCCCATTATGAAGCTGAGAACTTTTCTTTTACTTTAGGACTTCTCTTTGACATATTCAAATTGCCAGTATCACTCTTGCACTTTTGAGACTTTATTAATGGTTATTTGAACACAAACAAAGCAATACTGCTCCAGATGACACTATAACCAAAATGACTACTAAGTGACTAATGGGCAGGTAGTATACAGTGTGGCTATGCTGGACAAATGATTTATATCCTAGCTAGATGGAACTGGATGGCATAAGACTTAATCATGCTACATAGAATGTCATACAATTTAAAACATGAATTGCTTATTTATGGAATTTTCCATTTAATATTTTTCTGACCAAGTTTGATCGTGGGTAACTGAAATCACTGATAGGGATGACTACTGTATATTTCTGTATCTGTCTCCAAATAATGAAAATCATTAGTTCACACCAATACTTCCAGTTCCAACCCAATACCACGGGGTTAATTCTAGTTTCCTCCCTTTCCAAATTTTGTAACTACCCTTTCTGTTACTGATGGCCATAAAAGTGTGGGGTGGGGGAGGGCACATTGTTAAATAACTACTATAGATTCCACTTGGCAAATGTGTTTCAGAGAAAATAGAATAATTTAAGAAAAAGTTTATGTAGATGACTATTTCCTTTGTCATTAATGCCTGTACCAGGACAGGAGAGAATATGTTAATATTTAAATTTTATCAAAATTCATCTTTAATGAAATCATGTATTTTGATAAAGGGCCAGAAGGCTCCTTTTTGTTTGTTTATTTGTTTTGTTTTAAATTTCTGATGAAATTAGGAAACAGCCTATGCTATACTCACAAAAATCCTCAGATTAGGAAGCAGCTTGGGCAATTTCACTCTTTGCTTTCACTGTGTAAGTACAAAGTTCTATTTAGGCTCTGTGCAGAGTACAAAAGGATATGCTCAATTTATATGGACAACTAGGACCCAGATTCCCAAAATTTGGCCTGCAGGTTCTTTTCAGTGACTAGAGCAAAGCAAGTGCTATGTGCTGACAGAACCTGGTGGAGAAGCCAATAGAATATACTAGAAATACCCATAGCCTGTGTTTTGTCTGGAACTCTGCAGAAAAGTGGATTGCTTGCTCTCCAGATCAGAAACTCTGAAAGGAAGAAAGCCCAGTACAATATCTCAGTGTACTGAACCACAGCCCCTATGCTGGCTTTCCAGCTTGGCAACAGAAATTAAGACATGATTTCAAATGGAGGAACCATATCCAGAGGCATAGCTGGGTTTTGTGGACTCGAAGCTCATAAAACCTGGAGATTTCTTAAGTGTAAAACCATAATTAGGTACAGAATCTCAGAAGGCATCTATGCAGGTGAGAGGTCTGGAAACTTAAGCTTCATCAGCTTTATCATTAATCTACAGCTGAAGAGGCATCTTTTACCCTCTTTGGGGCCTCAGTAAGAAGAGTGGGTGATGGGAGTGGGTGATGGCCGTGAAAGAGGGGGGAGGGCACATTGTTAAATAACTACTATAGATTCCATTTGGCAAATTTAAAATTCATGCTCTATTTAGTGGAAATAACGTTAGTTAATTATTTCCCAAGTTGTCTCACATTTGATGAGCTACTCAAATTTCTGCTGCCTACAAATCAATGTTTAGTGAAGAAGGTATTTATAATTAGGAATGTTAGAAACAACTTATATTTAGGGTTGACTAGTTAACATAAAATAGAACCACGTCAATGTTCTCATTAAAAAGAAGCTCCTTAAACATAGGTTTGGGCCCAAGGGATAAAGGTATCTATATAAAAGACTATGTTATTCGGAATAAACAAAACAACCAACAACCCAATTCAAAAATGGAAAAAAAGAGCTTAAACATTTCTCTACAGTACTTTGATAAAAGAGGCCTCAGTGCTTCCTTGCCCCTTTCACCATGTGAGGATGCACCAAGAAATCACCTTCTATTGAGGTGGAGGGAGAGCAAAAGGACAGTCAGTGTAGGTATTAAATGATTGGGTCAGGAAAATGGGGTTGATTCAAGAGGAAATAAATTGCTAACACTTCCAGGGCACTTCCCTTCCTCCAGGGAATTGTTCCTCCCAATAAGGAGTTGTTAATGAAGTACCTCCCAGGCAGCTCTTCTCCTTCCTTTCTGGGCAGATATGGAGAGGCACCCTGGAAAGTTCCTTTACCACCTTTGACCATGTAGACAAGATCAGGGGAGGAGGGGGCGTGAGAAGAAAGGATAAAAGGGGTAGGACATCCCCACTCCCTTGGGCACCAACTTGGAGGGTCCTCTGCAGAGGAGTATGTGTCTCTCTCTATCCATTAAATAAAATTTTTTGCTCTTGCCTCAGCATTTCCTGGGTGTTCAATCGTTAACATGGGGTAACAGGACTCAGACATGATTCTCAACATTGGACTCACTACGAATCAAAAAGCAGATCCCTTAGCAAACACCAAACTTTTGCACCTTGATCTTGGACTTCTCAGCCTCCAGAACCAGGATAAATACATTTTTGTTGTAAGTTAGCCAATCTATGGTATTTTATTATAGTATTCCAAACAGACTAAGACACTTGGGAATAAAAAGGAATAAAATTCTGATATATGCTATAAGTTGGATAATCTTGAAAGCATTTTGTTAAATAAAAGCCATACACAAAAGGACAAACAATTTCCCTCACATTAAGTTCCTAGAATAAGCAAATTTATAGAGATGAACATGGAAAGTAGAATAGAGGTTATCAGGAGATGGGAGGAAGGGAGAACAGCAAGTCATTATTAAATGGATATGGAGTTTATGTTTAGGATGATGAGAAAGTTCTGGAAAATTTGATAGCAAAGGTGTCCCTACCACATTGTGAATGTACTTAATAATATTGAACTACACACTGAAAATAGTTAAATGTTGAATTTTATGTTATGTACATTATTACAATTAAGAAAAAGGTAAAAAGAGTATACTAAGGAAATCAGGCTTGTGTCAAGATGACATTCTACTACAGGGGGGAAAAGTGAAATCATCAAAGTATTTAAATACTTAAATTAGCAAGGAGTCACTAGTGTGAAAAGCAATGTACTTAGAAAACGTTTTAGAGGAAAAAATTACAGA